AGTGATTCCCTTTTTTGTCACTTAATAAATATTGTCCTTTAAGCCCCAAATCTCTGACTTTGTAGCCCTTAAAAAGAATAATGTAATTCTATGTGGATAGCATGGCAAGATGTCCCAGATACAGTATGAAGTGAAGAACAGTGTATGTTGTATGTATATGTACTATAAAACCATTTTATTTTGCAGTACTGATGAAATGTTGTTTGGGGACCAGCAGCATCAGCATTACCCAGGAACCTGTCAGAAATGCCCATTCTTAGGCCTCACCCCTGCCCTACTGGATCGGAAGCTCTGGGTGTGCGGATGGTAGCATGATCTCCAGGTGGTTCTGATGCTCGCTCAAGTTGCAGAACCACTACTCTAATGTGTCCTGTTCTGGGAGAGTTTGCTACTGTATATAATGTCCTTCAGGACACTCTAGAATGGGTTTGTAACACCTTTACGGTTTGCACATCAGTCCAGTAAATGAATTGCTTAAGTTTTGTAAAGGACTTTGATGATACTGTTTCTGAGTCATTGTATTCACATATGCCTTTTCTTTACAAAATCAGTGAAACAAAAAGCCAACAAATTATATGTGCCAAAAAATACCAGCGACTATATGAAAACAGTCTCTGAGGGACTACACCTTCAGCCAGTGTTCTTCAGACATGTGCACGCGTATTACTTGAGGGCCTTGTTAAAATGCAAGACAGGATTGAGGCCTGAGGTTCTGCATTTCTGACTAGTTCTAGGCCAAGTTACTGGGCTGGGGTCACATTTTGAATAGCAAGCCACTGAAATGTTATCCGTGGTTATCTCTGGAAGGTAAAATTGTGGGGATCTTCACTTTGTACATTTCACCTTTATGCGTTATTTGAATTTGTTTTTAAAACCAAGAACTGTATTCCGAGAGAAGAGTAAAGGATTTAAAAATCTTTCGCCAGAATTTGCCTTACTTCTACATGTCTGTGCCCTGTGGATTTACCATTGAAAAAAATGTGTAAGAGTGCATCAAAAGGAAACTGATTTATTGGCCTTATGCATCCCCATGCTACCCAGATCATTATGGGTATGAATGTTAAATAAGCGTAGTGTTAGATGTAGGGGGCCAGTTGGAAGGGATTCATATTAGCTGAAATGTTTTCAGTGGCAGGCATCAGAAACTTAACTGAAACAGGCTTAAGGATTTAAAGGGAATTTTTAAGAAAATCCAAGGAAAATGATGGTGTCAGTCATAGCTGAATCCAAGCCTTCAAATGACATTCTCAGGAATGGGTCCCTTGCCGTCTGTAAGCTCTGCTTTCCTCTGCAGTGGCTTTATCTTCAGGTGGTCCCTCTTTCCCTAGAATGGCTACCAGAAGCTCTAGGCTCTGCCAGATGAACAGCCACAAGATGAGAACTCCTCTTCCCTGCAGAAGTTCCAGGGATGATGGGCGCCTGGGTGGCTCAGTTGGTTAAGCGACTGCCTTCAGCTCAGATCATGATCCTGGAGTCCCGGGATCAAGTCCCGCATCGGGCTCCCTGCTCGGCAGGGAGTCTGCTTCTCCCTCTGACCCTCCTCCCTCTCATGTGCTCTCTCTCATTCTCTCTCTCTCTCAAATAAATAAATAAAATCTTTAAAAAAAAAAAAAAAAGAAGTTCCAGGGATGACCCTCTTTGGCCATGAACCTATCTCTGAATCTATCAATGACTCTGATTGGCTTGACTTAGTCATGTGCCCACTATTTTTTTTTTTTAAGATTTTATTTAAATTCAAGTTAGTTAACATATAGTATATTATCAGTTTCGGGGTAGAATTTAGTGATTCATCAGTTGCATATAACACCCAGGACTCATTACATCAAGTGCCCTCCTTAATTCCAATCACCCAATTACCCCTTCCCCCTCACCCACCTCCCCTCCAGCAACCCTCAGTTTGTTCCCTATAGTTAAGAGTATCTTATGGCTTGCCTCCCTCTCAGTTTTTATCATATTTTATTTTTCCTTCCCCTCCCTTATGTTCATCTGTTTCGTTTCTTAAATTCCACATATGAGTGAAGTCATGTGGTATTTGTCTTTCTCTGACTGACTTATTTCACTTAGTATAATACACTCTATTCCATCCATGTCCTTGCAAATGGCAAGATTTCATTCTTTTTGATGGCTGAGTAATATTCTAATATAACACATCTTCTTTATCCATTCAATAGTCGATGGACATCTTGTCTCTTTCCATATTTTGGCTATTGTGAACATTGTTGCTGTAAACATTGGGGTGCATGTGCCCCTTTGAATCATGATTTTTGTTTCCTTTGGATAAATACCTAGTAGTGCAATTACTGGATCATGGGGTAGCTTTATTTTTAACTTTTTGAGGAACCTCCATACTGTTTTCCAGAGTGGCTACACCAGTTTGCATTCCCACCAACAATGTAAGAGGGTTCCCCTTTCTCCACATCCTCACCAACATCTGTTGTTTCCTGTGTTGTTAATTTTAGCCATTCTGACCAGTGCAAGGTGGTGTCTCATTGTGGTTTTGATTTGTATTTCCCTGATGATGAGTGATGTTGAGCACTTTTTCATGTGTCTGTTAGCCATTTGTATTCTTTGGAGAAATGTCTGCTCATGTCTTCTGCCCATTTCTTGACTGGATTATTTGTTTTTTGGGTGCTGAATTTGATAAATTATAGGTTTTAGATACTAGTCCTTTATTTGATATGTCATTTGCAAATATCTTCTCCCATTCTGTAGGTTGCCTTTTAGTTTTGTTGATTATTTCCTTTGCTGTGCAGAAGCTTTTTATCTTGATGAAGTCCCAATAGTTCATTTTTGCTTTTGTTTCTCTTGCCTCTGGAGACATGTCTAATAAGAAGTTGCTGTGGCTGAGGTCAAAGAGGTTGCTACCTGTGTTCTCTAGGATTTTGATGGATTCCTATCTCACATTTAGGACTTTCATCCATTTTGAACTTATTTTTGTGTATGGTTTAAGAAAGTGGTCCAGTTTCAATCTTCTGCATGTGGCTGTCCAATTTTCCCAACACCATTTGTGGAAGAAACTGTTGTTGTTGTTGTTGTTGTTTTCCATTGGATATTCTTTCCTGCTTTGTTGAAGATTAGTTGATCATAGAGTTGAGGGTCCATTTCTGGGTTCTCTATTCTGTTCCACTGATCTATGGTTCTGTTTTTGTGCCGGCACCATACTGTTCTGAGGATTACAGCTTTGTAATACAGTTTGAAGTATGGAATTGTGATGCCTCCAGCTTTGCTTTTCTTTTTCAACATTACTTTGGCTATCAGGGTCTTTTCTGGTTGCATGCAAATTTCAGAATTGTTTGTTTCAGCTCTGTGAAAAATGCTGGTGTTATTCTTTTTTTTTTTTTTTTTTAAATAGAAGCCAGGTTTGTTTTTTTTTTAAGATTTTATTTATTTATTTGACAGAGAGAGAGAGATAGCGAGAGCAGGAACACAAGCAGGGGGAGTGGGAGAGTGAGAAGCAGGCTTCCTGCCGAGCAGGGAGCCCGATGTGGGACTCGATCCCAGGACCCTGGGATCATGACCTGAGCCGAAGGCAGACGCTTAACGACTGAGCCACCCAGGCACCCTGCTGGCATTATTCTGATAGGAATTGCACTGAATGTATAGATTGCTTTGGGTAGTATAGACATTTTATTTATTTTTATTTATTTTTTTTAAAGATTTTATTTATTTGACAGAGAGACACAGTGAGAGAGGGAACACAAGCAGGGGGAGTGGAAGAGGGAGAAGCAGATTCCCCACGGAGCAGGGAGCCTGATGCAGAGCTCGATCGCAGGACCCTGGGATTATGACCTGAGCTAAAGGCAGGCGCTTAACGACTGAGCCACCCAGGTGCCCCAGTATAGACATTTTAGAATTGAACAATGTTTGTCCTTCCAATCCATGAGTACGTGCCCACTTCTAAAGAAGCCTGGGGGTGATGTAACCTCATCCAAACCAGCTGAGAGGAAGGGGTAATTCCCCAAAGAAGAACAGAAGTGTTGATACAAGACAAGGTGAAATAGGTGTGAAAATGAGAGGTGGTATTCTGTTATTGTGCAGATCTTCCAGCCCAATCTTCTCATTTGACTTCTTTGGAAACCAGGTTAATTGATCTGTCCAAGGGCACAATAATAAGCAGCAGAGCCAAGATTTTCCAATTTCTGCATTTCTGCTCTGTCCTCTCCACTGTGTTGCCTCCAAGTTCTTGAAAACCGGGAATGAATCAAACATGAAGCTTCTATAACACTTGATTATCATTGAAATGCTTTCTTAAACACACTGCATTTCATGATATTAAACCTAAAGGAACTGTAATTGCACATCTATCATCTTTTCGCTCCTACATTAACTGCCCAGAGTAAGAAAACCACATTCCTTCTGTGATAGTAATCCTTGCTACTCCTTTCCTCTTTGGAGAAACAAGTCATAGCTTGAAAAAGTATAGCTACTGATCTCCTTGGAAGAAGTTCGAGCCCTAACCAGGTGATCCCATGAGTGAGGTGGACGCCCTATGGACAGAGGGGCTCACACCAGTCTCTGATCTTTGTTTGCGGCATGTATTATCCCAAGAACTTGATTAATAGTCTAGACGAGGTCCTCCCTTTGGGTGGGCTTGTTGCCCTCCCAATTTTCCCAGGCACAGTGATATCCCTGTGGACAGGTATGGGCATGCATCATAAATCTGGAGGCTCGCCCAAAAAGTATGTCTGCTGTTTGTGAAGGGGCAATGTAGCAATTACCTGTGAGTAATGCAGTGGCAGATCTTCTGTGAGAAATTAAAGCTGAAAAAGAGGGCTTTCCTCTCCTTAAAGGAATGGTATTGGGTGAACTAACTCTTGCCTTGGGAACTCTTTCTTCTCCTTTCCCCAAATTCAATCCCATTTTCCCCAGACATCCATCCTTTCTTAGGCACCCCACTTTGGCACTCCACAAGCCATGGGAAAAAGAAAGAACTGACTAGAAGCAAACCATCTGCTTGCTCATAGCAATTGAAAGTTTCCTTTTGATGGTTCTGGTTCCAGGGGAGAGAGCCGAAGATTCAATTCTGGAGTCTGCCCCCTTTGAAGAGCAGCCGCCTGGCTTCTGGTGGCCACAGCAGCAGGTAGGAAAAGAATGGTTGTTCTTACCTTTTGTTTTTCATAAAATAGAATTTTAAGGCAAAGTTAAATGTTAAATGTCAGTATATTAGATATAGTAGAATCACCAAAGGATTTAAATAATATGGCTTCCATCTGTAAAGCACCCTCGACTAATGAGAGGATTGGTTTTGCTGTTGGAGAACCTGTCTCAGGATTTCTTTTGGGGGCAGGGGGTGCCTTGGGTTATTCCATATGATAGCCGTCGTGGTCAGTGCCAGAAAGAAACTCATGTCTTGATGAGTCTGACATCATCTGTGTTCTCTGGATTTTCACTTGTAATGTGCATGTTTATATATGTATGTATCCTGTGCTCCAGACACACAGTCACCTTTGTTAAGAACATTCACAAAAACACAGATGATGATCTGACCAGAAGAGAGGCCCCCTCTGATGCATTGTTTTATTCTAAGTTTTCCAAGAGCTCTTCAATTGGCTTCTTGAAAGACAGCACCATGAGCTGTTTGGAAGGAAGTTATTAGGAGTCTGAGAAATATTGAATAGCTGTCAGTTACATTAGTGCAGTTCCTTGTTCACCCTCTGGATCACAGAATAAGACTTTTATGTATTTTGGGGTCATGGACCTCTTTATAAGGAATATAACTTATAAACTAGACAAAAAACCATAAAGTGAATATGATGAGCTGTTTCAGAGTTTGTCGTAACCAGTTCTCAAGTGTGGTAAAAGTAAAATATGATGCATATGTGATAGAAGGAAGTAATAAAGGGAATATGGAAAAGAACAAAATGGAGTTTTATGAGAATTTTTAGGTCTACTTTTTAAAAGCAAACTGAATTTGTGTGTCAGCAACCAGAGAATCAATTCTGAGAGAAAATATTTATGAATTGTGTGATTACCTCACTTTAAAAAATGACCAAATATTGAGGTTATTTCTTCTTTGCTGGTGTGAGGCGGGGAGAGGGAGGGAGGAAGATGAAGGGAAGGAGGGAGGGGAGGGAGGAGACACTTTTCTCATGTACTGGGTTACAGACTGGTTTATTTTAAAATGCACCTCAGTAACCACCTGTTCTGCAGTCAGCACTTTCTGTGTTCTGGGCACTGTGCTAGGCTCTGGACTATACGTGTCATGTTCAATTTCTTCTTCAGTAACTTTTGCCTACCTCTTATTAGTGTCACCAACAAACAGACAACCACAGACTTTTAGTATGATGACTTTAACTGGACTCCTTGGGTGACCTGGTTACCTGAACTGCTTGTGTATCGATCTGTTAGAAAAAGTTGGAAATGATACCCCGTTGAAAATAAACAGTACCTCCCAAGCTTCCTTAAAATCCAGCTCTCTGAGGCCAAGGAGTAGAAGAGCACTACTATTAGATTTGTGTCCTATTTGTGTTTCCTGAGTTTTCTGGGTAAGGGTGGTGCTGATCCTTGGCTGGAGGGTTGACCTAGAGCCATGCAGGCTCTAAGACAGGGGCTGTGCCTTGTCTGCCAGGCTCTCTCCCCAGAACCCTGTGGGCTTGAGGAGTGGGGTGGAGGTGGGGACCCTTACCTGCCTTGGGTGTCCCTCAGGGGACCTTCTTCTTTATGTATCAGCTGCGAACAGCCCCTGCGCCCTCAGCAAATGTGATTGAACCTTGTGTGCTAGCCCTGGGCCCCATCCTGCTGTTGGAGGCTGGCTCCTCAGTTGATTTCAGGCAGACCCAGAGGCGAGGTGGACAGATGTAAATTTTGCCTCGTTACCAGTGCATGCTTTGCCTTTTCACTTCTTCCCTATGGCTGCATCTTCTCTTAGTGGCTATAAATAGCACCATTGCCCCACTCTGGAAAATGTCTAAGTCTGTCACTGGTGGTCCCTTAGCTCTGCATGGCTCCCAGTTCCAGTGAGAAATGGTGCCAGGAGTAAAATAACAAAGCAGAAGATGAAATCTACAACAACACAAAAATGATAATAATAGCGCCTAACATCTGTAAGAACTGGATGTGTGCTACAGGGTTTATATACATGATCTCATTTATTCTTTACAACCACCGATGAGGTGGGGACTATTGGTATCCCCATTATATAGACAAAGAAACTGAGGCTTAACCATTTACTTGCTGCTGGCAGTTCAGACCTACGTGTCTGACTCCAAAGCGATGAGCGTGACAATGGAATTTAGCGTGAATCCTGGCCAAGCGAAGATAATGCAGACCGGTGAGCAGGGTGCTTAGGCAGATGCCCTTTCTGGCCCCCTGTGCTTTCCTGCTCTTCCGTGATGCCTCTGGAAAGGTCTATTGGAGACCACCGGGGAGACCAAAGGGATTGCTCTGCTGCCTGTGGTTTCTCTCTCACAAGTGGCTTGTCATACCTCCCTTTGAGGTCTGGCAACCAGCATTTATCTTGGTCTTTGTTTACAAACAGGGGCTATGCATCCTGTTCTTTCCTTGCTATTTGGGGCTGACTTTAATTTTAAAGGAGCATGTGTTCTGCTTCCACTCTGCTGGTGTTTTTGGACACAGACTTTAGCCTTAAGAGGCATCAGGGAATGTTCACAACCAGTTCTTCTCCTTTTCTTGATTTCAGCTAATATATTCCCCAGAGCCCACCTAGAACCAAAAGGAGTTCTCCTTTAGGCGTGGTCTCTGTTTTGTCAATTACCACTGCTCGGACCTGTTTGAAACCATGCTGGGGAAGAGTTTGGAAAGTCTCCAGGCTGTTTACCCATGGGCTCCCCGATTCATAAGTCATGTCATCGGCTAATTTCTGGGGGTACTCTCACATTTTGAACCCCTTCCTATTTTCAACCTATGGGCAAATTCTTTTGTAATATGGATCTTGTCCAAAGATACTAGGGAAGGGCTCAGATCAGCCCCCACACCAAGCCCATTAGATGGCCCTTTGGTTAACTCGAGCAGTGCATCAAAACCCTATCCCCTTAGACTTCTTACAAACTGTTTTTTTATAAAGATTTTATTTATTTATTTGACAGAGAGATAGACAGAAGAGCACAAGCAGAGGGCGTGGCAGAGGGAGAGGGAGAAGCAGGCTCTGCACTGAGCAGGGAACCCAATGTGGGACTTGATCCCAGGACCCTGGGATCATGACCTGAGCCGAAGGCAGACACTTAACCATCTGAGCCACCCAGGCGCCCTCTTACAAACTATTTTTATTGTGTGACTTGTCAATGAGTTCTTTGAAATTTGGCCCTAACTTGCTTATTTCCGGTTTCAAACAGTCCCTTATTGTGCGTTTACTGGAAGAGAATGAAAGAGGTGGAGGTTTGAGGCAGCAGAAAGGAAGGGGACTAATATGAATTGAACACCTACTGTGTGCTGGGTACTCTACTAGGCTCTCTACCTGTGATACGATATTTAATCCTGACGGAACCCGGTAAGGTAGAAAGGCCCATTTACAGTTGAAGAAACTAAAGTTTCAAAGAAGTTAAGCTCCTAGGTGGAAGTGTAACACAAAGGTGGGACAGAATTCAAAGCCCGGTCGCTTCCCTTTATTCCATACTGCCTCCACCGTGTCACCTCAGTTATGAACCCTTTCCCAGTGGACAGAGTATACTCAGACCTTCGTGATCCTGAGATTGAGGTGTGTGATACCCATTTGGTAGATGAGAAAACCCGGACTCAAAGGATACTGCTTGGATTAATGGAGATCAGCTCCTATTAAGCCTTGATCATTTCCTACTCATCTGAGACAGCTGACTTCCTGGAGCGATGGTGTTCACGTGAAAAATGTTAACCCCCAAGATCCTAATTAACAGTAATCTATTTGTATCACTTTTGATTTTCCAAACCTTGATCTTAGCAATATGTGTTTGTTTCCATATGCCCTACTCCGGTTCTCACATAATTTTATTTCAGAAACGCAGGTCAGTGTTAATGAGATTAAATACTTATCACTTCCACGGATAAGAGTTTTCTGTCCTGTTACTCAGGCCAATTTCTTGTTTTTGAGCATTTGAGATGGTCCAAAGAATACAACTTCATTTCTTCCTTTTGGTTTTCCTTTTGGAGGGTATGGTTTCCAAAGAGGAAATTACTAAGTCAAATAGTAAAACAAATTTTATAGCTCTTATAAAATATTTCTAGACTGCTTTCCTCAGAAACCTCACATTGTCACCAGCAACAAACAAACATGGGGACTTGTTTTCCTCCCATTCCAGGCTGGCCTGCTCTTTATTGAGCTGAATTTATTTTTTATTTTTTTTATTTTTTTTTAAATTTTTTTAAAGACTTTTTATTTATTTGACAGAGAGAGACAGCGAGAGAGGGAACACAAGCATGGGGAGTGGGAGAGGGAGAAGCAGGCTTCCCGCCGAGCGGGGAGCCCAATGCTGGGCTCCATCCCAGGACCCCGGGATCATGACCTGAGCCGAAGGCAGACACTTAATGACTGAGCCACCCAGGCGCCCCGAGCTGAATTTATTTATAGTTCTCTTCTCCAAAAGTTTTGGGAGTTCTGATCTTTAAGTGTCTTTCCTCTCATCACTGAGCCTTCTACCTAGGGCTGACACTGAGCCAGGTAACCACAGAGTTGCCTCCAGTCAGAGTAGTGAAGACCTGAAATGCCATGTGCCATGGCCTAATGAAGTTAGAGAGGGGAATAACAGATATGGAATGAGTTGAGAAGTAAAGAGAAATAGTGAAGAACCCATGATAAACAGGTAGATCAGAGAAATAATAGAGGATATGGGAAAATTAGCCTCTTGGGGATTCTTAAAGACTACCATGTGAAATACATTTATTCATTTGTTGGTTTATGTGGTAGCCAATCTCCAAGATGGCCCCTAATGATCCCTGTCCCTGATAATTAGCATCCTGTCTAGTCCCTTCCCACATCCTGTCAGAGTTGGTCTGTGTGCCCAACAGAATACAGGACAAGTGATGGTATGTTGTTTCTGATATTAGGTTATAAAAGATGTCATGGCTTCATTTTGATCACTTTCTCCCTTTCTTGGATCACTCACTCTGAGGGAAGTCAGCTACCATGTCGTGAGCAGCAATCTGTAGAGG